CGAAATTACTAGTTACTAAGGTTCGTGATAAATGACTATCAGATTTTGAAAACCTGGTATCACTGGATCATGTTCAACATTTTTGTTGGATTAACATTAACTAAAAAGGTTTTTAAATTGGATTTTGAATAAATGTGCAAGTAATTGTTACAGTTTTGAATTTTAGTTACTATCTTCCTTCAGTCATGCAAACCGCCCAGTCACATGACCCCCCAGCCACACCCACCAAGCCACGCCCACAGAACCGGTAGTAAAAAATTGAATTCCACCACTGGGTGGGGGGCACCGAGGATCAGTTTGTAGCACCAAGGAGGCGGTGGACTGAAAAAGTTTGGGAACCACTGCTCTAAATGCTCAGCTCTAGATTTTCTAATTTTTCATTCATAATTTGCAGAAGTTTTATTTATTTATTAAATTTATACTGTACATTGTGCTGTATATCCTTAAGTTGAAAATCTTAAAATTGTGTTGGAAGACCAATACCTTAAAAGATAGAAATACAAATCTAAAAGATTGTTAGGTTGGAGAAATAGGCTAAAATTAACAGAACGACAAGTAAGCGTGCTGCCTGCTATTGAATATTCTTGCAAGTCCTGGATTTTGGGCCTAGCAGGACTGGCTGTGTTGTCTCACCTTGGATATAATGGGCACTAAGGCCTGGCTGCTCTTTAAGCAGCTTCTGTTGTTCTCTCTCTCATACTTTAGTCTTTCCTGATATTTGCAAAGAAACTCTTGTCATCAATTAAGGATATTATCATTAGTCATTAATCCAATGGTTGTCTCTTTTCTATTTCTTTTTGCAGAGAAAAGATGTAAGGCAATCTTTAGGTGCACTGAGTTAATCAATCACAATTACTACTAGGAGGCAATGTGGGATAAACTATGTCTGTTTCTTCCTCATGTACTCTCTCCACTAGGAGATAGAGCGAAAAAAGAATCCATGGGTTGTATTTTTGTCCCATTAGGATTAATTCACTGAAAGTGACGCTTGCAGGAAATTGTTTTCTTTAAGTTCACTTTAACGAGAACTTTCCTTCCTGCCACTGGTATACAGAAAAGGAGAAGAGAAGAATACCCTTTAGTCACAAGTGCCTCTTTCTTCTACTCCTCTATCTGGCTTTTACTCTCACATGAGGCATAACAAATAAAAACAAACAAATTAAAGCTAAGGAAGAATGAACATGAATTTACTTTAAAAGTAAAATGTGGATTAAATATTAGGAAATCATAATGTTTTATGTTTTGTTCTGGTTTCATTTACTTTTTGAAATATACCAACAGAGAACTGAAATGCCAATGTGATCTTTGGCCCAAGACATTTTTGCACTGCTGTTTTAAAGTATCACAAATAGATTGTTCATTTTATTTCAGAATTAGTTCCACTGATACTTAAGTCCCAGTAATACTTTCAAGTAAATAAGAACTGGCTTTTAAAATGATTTTATGTAACAAGGGAATTTCAAATGAGTAGAGTTGCAGGTTGAGATCAAAGGTTAATTACACAACTGACTGTTTTCATTTCTACCCACATATATTACAATATGTATGTGAAACAAAAAAGAAAAGTAGGCTGGCACTTCTAAATTGTTTCAAAAACCAGAGTTACTTTTTAAAAAGAGAAAACAGCAGAAGGGAACATCTGATTGTAGCTGGACTCAAATACAGTATATGTTTAAGACTGAGAACATCCAAGGAGTGACTAGGTTTCTTTTGGGCAAAACATTGTATACAAATTTCAGCTCCTTAATTAAATGAGAACACTTTTATGGGTGAACCAATTTAAATAGTTTCTATTCGCGCACACACACACACACACATACACCCATTAAGTCCTCTCCCGAAAATAAGCCCTCCCTGAAAATATTGCAACACAGCAGCAGCCATGAGGTGCCCACACTTGCTGCCTCCTGTATTTCAAAAATAGTAAGACCTCCCCGAAAATAATGCCAAGTGCTTATTTGGGGGGGTGTCAAAAGAAAATAAAACCCTGTCTTATTTTTGAGGAAACATGGTGTGTATGTGTATACATATATTATAAACACACACAAACACATATAAAACATAAAACATAAAATAAAAAATTGTGCATTTATATGATTTGAAACTGCCACAATCATGTGATTCTCATTTGTTTACAGTAAATAAAACATCCACTATATAACAAACATATTCATAATTGTCTTAAAATTGGAGCACAGTAAAGCACATAATAAGCTATTTAAATCTGATATCCAAGTGTAACCTCTGCACAGTATCTTTACAACAAATTCTACATGCTGACATAAATGTCAAGACTGACAAAACCTAGTTGTCTCTCAAGTTAAAGTCTGGAAAGAAATGCAGCCTATGCAGGTGCATGATGCAATCTTAATTATGTAGCTAGGAAGCAATAAGAACTGCTCTACCACACCTGTTTAATGGAAAAGAAGGGAGAAGTGGGAGGAAAGCAAGTATGTCCTAATAGTTGTAAACTAGCACAGTATGTAATCAACAAGCTGCTGCACTTTTAAGTAGAGACAGCCCCACTAGAAAAACCATCTTAAATTAAAATCAAATCAATTTTCAGAGCAAAATTTAAAACAGCCGGAAGCGAGAAAACCTAACTGCACAAAACATAACCCACCAATCGTTCAGGTATACATTCACACATTCCAGACAAACATACAAAGCTGACAAGCTCCAAGGTGGAAACACAAAAAGAAAACAAAATATTTACAATGAGGTCATGTTTTAACCTTTACCCCAGAGTAAAAAAAAAATCCTTAGAAGTAAACCTGATTGAGGGAGAAGAAAAAAAGAGGAATGCCTGAATTCAGGGGTGGGTGGGGATATCTTTGCCTTAAATTGGAAGAAAATTAGTGTGAAATACAAGTACTATATTTTTCAGAGTATAAGATACACTTTTCCTCTAAAAAGAGGCTGAAAATCTGGGTGCGTCTTATACACAGAATAGAGCATTTTTTGCCTCCTGAAGCCCTGCCCCTTCACCAAAATGGCCGTGCATAGCCTTATGGAGGCTTTCAGACAGCTCCTGGAGGCTGGGGAGGGCAGAAATGAGCAAAAAATGGGCCTTTTGTTGCCCTCCCAGCCCCCAGCAGCACTCTATAAGCTTCCATAAAGCTATGCATGCATTTGTTTGGACAAAAAAGGCCTATTTTTGCAAAAAATTGTATGTTTTTTAGCTCATTTTTGCTGCCCCCCCCCCCGCCAGGCTATGCATGCCTTTTATTTGAAAAACAACAACAACAACAAGGGAGGTTTGTAGAGTGCAAAACCATTTTTTCCCCTTTCGGAAAGCTGTTTAGTTAGAGTGGTTGATGAGAATTACATTGATCAAGTGCTGTCCCAGCAGAAACAAAGTTTTAGGTGCTACAGGTTGTCAGCTATTTCCTTCTCTAGCACATGGATAAATACACCTGGAAACATCTACCTACCTACCTACCTACCTTCTCTCTCTCTCTCCCTACCTACCTATTGTATTTCTCTCTCTTCCCCCCTCTATCTACCTATATACTACCTACATACTCACTCTCTCTCTCCCCCTATCTATCTACTATATTTCTCTATTTTTCCCTCTCTCTCCCTCTATCTACCAACCTACCCACTCTCTCTCCCTTCCTATGTACTGTATTTCTCTATCTCTTTCTATCCCTCTACCTACCTACTTATCTACACACTATCTCTCCCTACCTACCTTATTTCTCTTTCTCTATTTCTCCCTCTCTCTACCTACCTAACTACTCCCTCTCTCTCTTCCTCTATCTACCTACCTACTTTTTTTAAAAAAATGCCTCTTCAAAACCTGGGTACGTCTTATACTCCGAAAAATATGGTAATGAAATTTGAGGGGGGAGGAGAGAACTCCTTCTTACAGTAGTGGCCAAAATTGTGGAAATCTTTTGGGAAAAGTGTATTTTCTAAAACTCGCTAATAACACCACTTTTTTTGGAGTAGTACCATACAATTATATATCAATGGAAAGATAATTTAATAAAAAAAGTAATGCAATAACTTTTATAAAGGATTTACTATTAGAATAGTAGTTATAAAGAAGAAAAATGGAACACATAGAAAAAATGAGATATACAAAAATTATCACATCAGTTAATACTTAGTTGGGTAATTTTTAGCATGAATTGAGGTCTTGCAATGTCTTCCCAAGGAGTGAACCAAGTCTTTTAGTTCTGCAGCTGTTAATGTGAAACCAAGATCTAATGATTGCTTCTATTAACTGGGTTTTATTGCTGGGTCGCTTCTGACTAACAAATTTCTTTAGCCTTTAGATTTTTAATTGTGTTAAGGTCTGGCTATTCCCAGGCCATTCCAGCAGTGGAATCAAACCTCAAAAATACACTTTTCCCAAAAGGTTCCCACAATTTTGGCCACTACTGTGTGTCTACTAGGCTTCCACTTATCCTAGAAGACGGAGTAAGGCAGTTGTACTTCTTTTGCACCCTCATCTAACTCAATAACCGAGTGAATCCGGGGAGGAGGTTTAGACCCAAGGTGGGTCTCCGAAAATTATTTTTTCAACGACCACCACGAAACGCTTAAGCATGCGCAGAGTACCTTCCTTTCCCCACTAAATCCCCCCTTCCGTTTAAATAGTAACAGTTAAGCTCCGAGGTGGGTTTTTCTTCTTCTAGGCTTCTTCCTCGCCCGCCTTGCACCCGCAGCCACCGCCAAACTTACAGACGCCGGGTCTCCCACGGCTTGGGAGGAGGCGGTTGATTGGCCGCCATCACCGCTCAGGAGACCCTCGGGCGAGCGCTGCTGCTCCTGTTCCTGCTTCAGAGAGAGCCGAGCTATCGAACTTACGCCAGAAACCGCGCCGGCTTCTTCAGCTCGCGCGACGAAAGCGTCGATCCAATCGACTGCTTCTGGCTGCGATGCGTGCTTCCTATTTTATTTAAGTCAAAGAGAAGCGTAAAAAGGAAACCTAGCAGCACTTCCGCAAATATACCTCTATGTCAGAGGTCTTCAAACTTCAAGCTATGGTGGCTGGAGAATTCTTGGAGGTGAAGTCCACAAGGCTTAAAATTGCCAAGTTTGGGGCTCTATGTTTTCATTGCCTCGTTGCCTTAAGTTTTCTAATTTATTTGAAAACGACATTAAGGCAACATTTGACAACCAGTGGGACAGCTTGTCTTCAGAAATCGTGAGCGATTTATCAACTGGAGTTTTTTTTTTAAAGAAGAGACTGGACAGCCACTTGTTTGAAATCGTATGGTCTCCTGCCAGAGCATGGGGCTGGACTAGTAGACCTCCAAGGTCTCTTCCAGCTCTATTCTATTACGTTGATTCACGCAATTATCTTTAAATTCTGTTGGCCGTCCGATATACGTCTTTCTTAGGGCTAATAAAGCCAGGTTTAATTTTACTTTTTATTTAACCCTCCACTCGGTACCTTTATATAGTTTAGTTCTGAAAGAGCATTGGAATTTTTGCAACATTCAAATAAAGCGGTTAGCATTTGCTATTCCATTTTATGTTGTAATATGGGTATACAGTTTGGGTTGCTTTGTTTACCATCCCTTCCTCCTGTTGTAACGCCCTTATTTTCCTTTTCTTTTCTCCCACCCTCCCTTCTCTACTTTCCTCCTTCCTCCTCTCCTTTCCCTTCCTTCTATAAGAATGATAAATGGAAAGAAGAAAAATAATTATGTGAATGTATACTTAAAATGGTATGTAAGAGAATAAAAAATAAATTAAAATGTTCTGAAATAATAATAATAAATAATAATAATAAATAAAGCGGATAGCATTAACACTTGCTTCTCCGTTTGGACTATTTTCTTCCTACACCATTAAAAAGAAACTCAATTAACCACATCTTCCTTTGCTTGAAAAAGTTTTTTTACATCGTGCACAATTACTTTGATCATTAAGTTTTTAATTAAAAAAAGACATAGCTGTATTCCAGAGGAAAAAATAAAGTTCTCTTTCAGCAATTTAAGAAATATTCTTCCTTCCTTTCGTTCTTTTTCTTTCTTTCCTTCTTTTTTTCTTTCTTTTGTTCGTTCTTCTTTCCTCTAAGACATCTTTTTTCTTTAATCTCGGTGTCCTATTACCGTCCTTCATCAAACCGTTGGACATTTAAAAAAAACAAAACACGGTAAAGATCTGCCATCCTTGCACAGTTCTGCTCCGGAACAATTATTATCGAGAAAGCGTTTCCTTCCCATCCGGAAGCAAGGAGCAGCCATTGATAGGAACGTGGGGCGGGGCAGCTAAATAGTTCCCCGTATTCCTCCTATTGACATAGGCGAAAAGGTAGGCGATCGTTGGCCGTTATGTTCATATATTTTAGCACCGTAGAAAGATTAGGTAGCCTACTCTGATTCTTTGATTTCTTGTAGCAAGATAAAGGGATAGGGCCAACAATGTTTTACCAATCCTTATTCGGAAGGAATTCACAGTTTCTGTGCGATTTGCGTGCTCGCTAATACATGCTAGCAGCGGTGACTATGCAGTATATATTCCAGGATCCCGGTTGAATTGCCATTAATAAACATTGCCCGATGTAGGGATTTTCGAGCTTATGCGATCACTATCCCGATCGTTCTAGGGGAGGATGCGAGTTAGACCGATTTCTTTTCCTGTATGCCAACATCAGAGATCCTGAAAACTTTAATCTAACCACATTATAAACATAATTACTCTTCCAAAACACCCTCAGCTCTTTCTCAGTAGCATGTTGAAATCCATCCAGCCTGACGGACTTATTATCTGGCACCATATTGTCCGGTCACTTTATATTGTCTACATGCATGGTTTTCTTGGAAAAATAGAGGCATGTTTTATGATTACCAGTAGAAGAAAATATATTACTCAGAATTGAACTATGTGGTCTCTGCGTCTGGTTATGTGATTACAGACATTTCATTACCCTCCTAGGTAATATAGGTAATATCAGTGCTAGA